ATTTTCTTTAATCGAACAAGATCGTACTTTTATTGTAGATGGCTAGTTTTAGTAATTCAGTACCTATTTTTCAATCTTCTGTTTTCGTCTTCCAGTCTTTCTTTTTCCAAATCAACGCAGTTTATAGGGAACCTTTGACTTGGATTTCTGGTGGAATATTGTTCTGCACTATCTCTTGGTGACGTATATCCGTTGCTGGTTAAAAATAAAAGGCATTATATAATCTCTCAATCATAATGATCATAAATTTATATATTTAAAGCATTGGATTCATTCATTGTGATGGACATGTGGATTCCTCTGTGAACTTTTATCAATCCAAAATATTTCATGAGACTCTAATTAACTTATATGAACAATCTTGCATATTTTATGTAAAATATACTTACTCAAATTGGATTAGTGATGGTACATTTTGTTCCTCTCTGTATTCGTCATGCCAATAGCGACTTGTCATCGTTGGAAGGTGGTCAGGACAGGCAATTAGAGCCTGTCCTACTGTGGTTACAGATAGTAAGACTTTTTCATCATTAAAATAACATCAATAGACTCAATTGCAAAATCAGCAGACTCTGGTGCAAAAAAGAACAGTCATAATCTAGGCTCAGCTCTGTAATTTCTTGAACTCATCAGTCATGTAAAGCTTAATATGTAGATTGTTAATTTAACTGCAGAACTGTAGCTCTCTGCTGGAGAAAATCCGGACAGACAATTTTCTCAAGCAGAGAGCTACAGTTCTGCAGCTAATTGTTAATTGTGTGCTATCGTAATTTTGAAATGTGCAATTTCTTACTGAAGTGCAGTTTAAGAGCACTATCAATCACAGTGTTGCCAGGGTTTGCAATATGACTTAGGATCCAGCAAAACCCAACTATAATTTTATCTTATTAGTGAAGTGATAGTGCTGTATTTTAAAATGTATCTTAAGAATATGGGAGATCAATGTTTATATTTTGTACGGATTGTAAGCACGAAAACGAGTCCGAAAATACTGTGGAAAAAGTTGTCTTTAGAAGTTTGAATATATTTAAATAAAATTTTTAGGACTGTTGCTTCTGCTATAAAAATTGTTGATTCATTTTGGAAGCCTTGTAGAGAATATATACCATCAAAGAAGAGGGTGTAATCCACAATTTATCTAACCTTTGTAATATTTGGACAATATAAGCTATTTCCCATGAACCTGAAACACAGAAACTTAACGTTATATATTTATCTTTAAAAAAAATAATTCCCTATACCTAATGAAGTATAGGGTTAATTTAATTTTTTTTAAGAAAACTAAAGGTTAAGTGCCTATGTCCTGAAAAGACCAATTTTAGACGATCTCATATGCCTCGAATACGAAGTTGATCTTTAAAATGAGTCGGGAAGTATATCGATCCCGATCTCTTTTGACTTTTCTAAAGTACGTTGTGGGGGAGGGAGGGTCTGAATATAAAGTCAGGCACGTAGTATCGTTTTTGAAAGTGTGTTGGGGGGGGGGGGGCAGAAAAAAACAATTTACCTGGAAAAAACTTTTACAAGCAAAAAAAGGGGGAAATTGTCCAAACACCAAAATCCTATTTCATGGGGGGCAAATTTTTTCACATTCAAATTTTATTAATACATTACCATGATTTAACTAAACCGAAGCAAAAGGTGGGGGGGGGTCAACCAGCTTTTCAAGGAACATTTTCAATAGTAAAAAGTTATGTTTTTAAAACGCCCCCCTCCCCCCCATACTACGTGCCTGAAAGTATCACAACCAAATTTTATTAATACATTACCATATTACCATGATATTACTATACCGCAGTAAAAGGGGGACCAGCTTTTCAATGATCATTTTCAACAGTAAAATTTGTGTTTGGAAAAAGGAGGGAGCATATTATAATTATAACAGCTTGAAAATATCAATGTCATTTCAAATCTAGTAATCTCTCTTTTTTTCTCTCCAGTACGTCCTTTAAGGATTATTTGATAACTAACGAATATTTTTTAAATAAAACAATCTCAGCAGTCTGCGTTGTTTGCATTCAAGTTTTTTGGGGGGAGGGGGGTGGAGGTGGGGTTGTTGCTGTACATACATGCTCAGATGTAAATAAAACAATTCTTACCTCGACTATCTACGCATATACGTAACAAACTTTCTTAGTTTGATTTACTTTCGTTTTGCATAGCACGCATGCACTTGTTTAAACAGGATCGAGATCTCGATATTTTAAAAGATGTGGTGGCTTAATTGTAACTTCGCACATACATGTAAAGAAAAGCACTTGTCATGCACATTAATTCTCTCCCCAAAGCTTATGATAATTTTGTTATAGTAAGCAAAAACTAAATCCCAATTGTCCCCGTATCAAAAATTGATGTACATGTTCTCTCCATGCTCTCTCTCTCTCTCTCTCTCTCTCTCTCATACACACACACACAAGTCTCTAATCAAATCAGTACAACATAATTAATATCACCTTCACGTGGTGCAAATATGCAAAACTGGGGAACATATCTTTCACTATGACACATGTGGTGGGAGAGAGAGAGAGAGAGAGCATGGAGAGAACATGTACATCAATATCTTACTTCTAATTCTCCATCTCAACGCCCTCTTAATTACGATGAAAGTGTTTCTCCTGTTATACACACACACACACACACACCCTCACACACACACACACACCCACCCCCACACCCCCACCCCCACCCACACACACACACACACACACACACACAGAGAGAGAGAGATATATATATATATATATATATATATATATATATATATATATATATATATATATATATATAAAGTTCATAGACATTTGACTACATGTATATGTTAAATTTTAAAGAACGGGGGCGCTTTTGGTTGGTATTTGGCAGGAATCTGGCTGCACGTGAAAAGTGAAAATTTTACTGAACTGTCAAATGAAATTTTAGCATTCATTTGATATTAGAGTCTTATGAAATAGAAAGGGGAAACATTTTTCCAAAAGTGTGTTTTGATTTGCTAATTAAAAGAATAACTTGAAATATTTGGTACAAAATGTTACATTTTAAAACACGTTTTTTTCCCCTAAAAATTTGCGATCTCCACATCTGTGCATTTTAATTCAGAGAAACGAGCAAACATTTGAAAAAAATGGAGAGAAGACCCAGAGACCATTAAAAATGAACTTTTTCCCCAAAAAAAATCCCATCGTGTAAATGCGATGCTTCAATGGCGTTTTAAAATCCATATTCGTTGTGAAGTAGTGATAGGTAAGTAGTATGCGTTCCCAATCCGGAATACTCAGGAATTAATAAGTGTTTGGTTCGATCCTTGCATGAGCATTAATTTTTTTTTTTCATGCAAACAATCGGGTCATTTGTCAATTTAATTTTATTTAGGGATTTATAAAAAATTTTAAATAGAAAAATTTTGGATCAGTTGCCTGCACTGAAAGCGAAAGCAATTCTTATAACCTACTGAAACGTTCATACATACCCAATATCTACCCTAGGATTTTATTATTTATGTAAAGTGTTACTATATTTTCATAAGAATTAAGATTAGCGGACTTAAATATTACAATTTGACAAGATATTTCAATGTAAATTTAACTTTTTTCCTATGTGTGTGACTTTATAAAGTCTGTCCAGCTGTGGTCAGTCGACCAGTTGGACATTTTTATAAGCTATAAACGTTTCGTTCACATGATTCCTGCAGATCACACGCCAAATAAGTCCATCTTCTTTACCCTCATATTCTTGCTTGCAACTTTATGATTTTTAAGGCAAAAAAAAAACAAAGGGAAAAATAAAACCGGAACAAAAGAATATAATCAGCAGCAAAACAAAACTAAATGTTTTACGGGTGACACTGTGATTAAAAAGGAAAAAAAAAGAAATGACATGTGAGTCGATAATCGTCTATTTACACTGCCGAATGTACAGGTTTAAACAGATATTGAACTCCAATTTTATTTCTCAATGCATCCCCCCTTTTGTCGCCCTTCTTTTTGCTAGCCTTCTTGCTTTTTAGAACATTGAACTTTTTTGACATTTGTTTTATGAAAAACATCCTGTGTTAAACAAATGAGAGGTTATTTTTAGTGTTTTAAAATAACGGTGAATCGATCAAATTGAAACATTGGATGTCTCTGGTGCAAACAACGGTACTGCGCATTGCATAAGTATTAATCACTCGAAAAAAAAATTTCTTGGTGTCCAGAGAAATGAGAGGTATCCTGATTGGACATTTCGTTCCCCCCAAAAAAACAAAAAAAGAAACAAACACAAAATACAAAACAAACAAAATCAAGCCTTTCAATTCCCCCAATGGAACCTCTGAGCACAAATGGGGCACCTGCTCAATTGTGACGTATTGGGTCACGTGATAGGGTGGGCCAGTGTAAATTGATGGGCGCCATTTTGACGGTGAGTGACAGTGTCTTTATAGGAGGTAGGCTGTCAATTAACTGCCAGATTGCTTGTCAAACGTTACAATGTTTACATTGATTTGCTTCTAATAATTGCATATAGGGAGGAAAGGGTGATAGATCAAAGTTAGTTATCAGTATATTAGTCAAGAAAACTAAAAGATTGAGATATTTTTTTGTGAAAAGCTTACGATTCTTTGCATATTGACCTATTTTCGACAAAATTTACATTCTGGCGTTTGGCACGGCCCCAAATTGTCGTTCTTAGATTCAGTTTGTCTCTTCTTCATCGTAAATCAAATCTGATCGGACAATTTGTAATTTGAACAAGTTGACCCATTCACAAATTGATTTGAGTGAATAAGTCGAATTGGGCTATGTTATTGTTAGTCTCCATATTGTATGCATGTTATTAAACGTTAGACACTTACGTACTGTATGTTGTTCATTTGAATCATTTTCATACTGTTGTCAACAAGCTGGCATTTTTCAAGAAAAAATTAAAATTTTGGTGTTATCGGTGTGTATACCAAAATATCTGTAGAATACAATGCTGAAATTAGAAATTGCTATCCATACATTTTTCAGGAATCTTACAAATGTTTCCATTATAATGTATTGGACTCTTTTTGATATCCTTTAATCTGTGAAAATGTCCATGGTCCAAGGACTCCCTCCCACCTACACGGAGTCCAAGTTACTAAATAAAGGGGGAAATGCAAGTTCATCAGATGTCCACAGGTAATTATTGAAGAAAATACATTTTTAAAAAGTTTATGCATGAATTAGCAAATGTTACAGCTTGATTTGAGAGAATAAGTCAAATAATATTTTACCTCTTGAGAAGGATAGTGTTGAAAGTGTTGAGGTATTTTTACCTTCAATTCATTATTTACTTTATTACTTTGGCTTGAAAGTTCATTAGTTATTTTATTTTGAAAGTATCAATTTGATTTTAAATGCATTTGGGGGGGGGGGGGGTATCAAGAGAAAAAACTATGCAGGATAAATCTGCAAAATTTCTTGTATTGATAGTAAAATGAAAACTCTGCATCTTCATACAAATTGTAGTTCTGTGGAATCTATGGGAACTATAACCATACAAGAAATTAATGATTCCCAGTATGAAGAGGAGAAGAAAAAGATATATGGGTATGTATTAAAGTTACAGTTTTGCAAAGGGCAATAACTGTGTATTTAGAAAACCAAAAAAAAAAGATTCTTGTTAGTTCTGAATAAAAAACTTAAACTGGAAAATTAATCTATCCAAAAGTACTTAAGTAGAATCTGCTTACTCCTCCAAGGCACCGGACCCCACCTCTTGATGTTTTTAGATGTCTGTGTTTGCTCTGCTCATAATATTTGTATTGTTTGAATGGACTTTTGAGCTTGATCACTGTTCATTGTCTTCATATAATTTATTTCATACTAGAATTTTGAGATTTTTTTCTAGATAAAGAAGACAAATTGTTTAAAATTGATTGAAAAATTATAGCACATCAGAAAAAGTAAGCATGTAGAAAATACCACTCATTTGATTCAAAGTACTTTTATACTGCTTTTCAGACACCCCCTCTTTCCTCTGATGGAACTCCTGTTTGTGAAATGTGAACAGGCTTCCCAGACCTCAGACTGTCCAAGCTCTGATAGTTTTGATGTTGACATTCAAACATTTGTTCAGCGACAGGAAAAAGAAAGAAAAGCTTTCTTTAGTGACGATTCAGAACTGGACAATCTGGTTGGTAAAAAAAATAATCTTTAAACACTAAATTATTTTCTGGAATAAGCCAAGGTATAATTCTGTGCAGTTATGATTTAATGCAAAAATGCATAGTCTTATAGAAAGCTTATGATTCAGTGCTTTGCAAGAGTTATTTCCCTTTCGTTACTGTTCAAACACTGCTTGAATACTTAAATTTGAAAAACTCTGTCTTTTTTCTCTTCAGATGGTGAAATCTATACAAGTCTTAAGGATTCATTTATTAGAACTTGAAAAAGTGAATGAGTTGTGTAAGGATTTCTGTAACAGATACATTAACTGCCTAAAAGGCAAACTTCAAAGTGAACAACTACTTCGTGTTGACACAGACTTTGATGACTTCAGTGAACATGGCTGCTCCCCACCCCTAAGTGGAGGTCAGGGGTCGGGAACAGCAGGAGTGGTGACCAGTACTGGAATGGTGATTCAGCAGCCATCAGCTTCAATGGCCACCCTGAATCAGGTTTATCAGATGGTGCAGACCCCCCAAGGATTGGTGGCACAGCCTATTCAGGTATTAGAATCTGTTCACTATAACATGGATATTTTTTTGTTTTCTTTTTTTTTTATGATAATACCTACCTATTTTTCATTATTTGTAAGTTTTTAAGGTGTCAGGAGTTGCACATTTGTTTTTTTGTTTTTATGGGGAGGGGGGATATCTTTTTTTTTGGGGGGGGGTATTAATTTTAAAATTAGAGAGAATATACAATTGAAAGAAAAAATAATTTTAATAATGGAGAATTTGTTGTCTCTTGATCATCAGATAATAGGGTTAATATAAAATTTTAACTAAATTTTAGATACAAACCACACCATTACAGGCTCCCATAGTGTCCAGTTCTGTCATCCAGGGGAATCCCTCACTGAGTCAACTCGGACTAGTCAACAACCCTGCTGCTCAATCATCTGCCTTGGGTCAGTAGAAAACTCTCCTTTCAAAGTATAGCTTCTAATTAATTTTAGTGGTAAAGAACTTGTGCACTCTTAATAATAGTGTTGATAATATTTTTGATATATTTTGTGTAGATTCTGATGATGACGATCCATTAGGAAAGAAGAAAAGCAAACGGGGAGTACTGCCCAAACAAGCCACTCAGGTCATGAAGTCGTGGCTTTTCCAACATATTGTGGTAAGTTCAAATTTCTTGAAGATTTTTTGAGGATTAGATTTAGAGCTAAGACCAACAAATAAAAAATGATTTATTTGATAAAAAGGTTTATAATTCTCTAAGATGCTTTTTTGATTGCATGTTTTTATAGCAATAAATATTAAATTTGCCTTGTCCAGTGTATAATGAAAAGATCAATAAATAAATCAATAAAGTCTTGTTTTTTTTATGACTGTAATAAATTTGTTAGCTACTGTAAAAAAAGTTGTTTAAAAAAAACTGCCTAACTAACTATCTACCCACCTTGAAAAATGTGGGTCTGAGTAGATCAAACAAAAGTTTTTTGATGATGGCCTAGCTGATAAAATGATTTAAAGAAAACCTACATGCATGTATATTTAGAGTCATAGACATATTTGATATAATATTCATGTACATTAGGGCATTATTATTATATTTAGATGTTCATAGATGAAGATTTTCTGTGTTTAAATCAAACTTCACTAATTTTGAAGATGAAGTTTTTAAAACCATTCCATTGCATTTAAATAACAACTTCTTAATGTACTGTTTTGCAGCACCCATATCCTACAGAAGATGAAAAGAGACAAATTGCAAGTCAAACAAATCTAACATTATTACAAGTCAATAATTGGTAAGAATTCTTTTTGATTAAAATACTTCAAATATACATTCATTTGTACTAAAATTCATTTAATGCTTAAATATTTGACATCAGAAATTTTTCACTAAGTTTAATATAGTTATAAATGTAAATTGCTTCTACATATTCTTTTACTTGCATCTCATGTGACTAGGAGATACCTGTATTGATTGAAAACTGTGTATATAGGTTTATAAATGCCAGAAGAAGAATTCTACAGCCAATGTTAGATGCCAGTAATCCAGAACCTACAAAAAAGGCCAAGTCTAAACCCCAGAATCGACCATTACAGAGGTTCTGGCCAGAGAGTATAGCCAACATCCAGCCTCAGTTACCTACGGGGATACAGGCCTCGGTCAAGTCTGAAGCAGCTACTTCTGTCACTGACACAATACAGACACAGCCAATCGTAATACCTATTGTAACAGGTAAGTGTGTAGATCTCTGCTGGCTGCTCTTTTCCAGTCATGCTATCATTGAAAACTTTTTTTTTTTTTGCTGACAAGAAACTCTTTTATAGTAACTATCTTTAGCCCTTCATGTACTTAACTTATTTACTTGTCAGTGCTTATCCCATTATTAATAGTTGTGAATATTACATATTTAATTGTAAAATGAGAGGTATGGGTTTTGATAGTAATTTTTTTTTATTAGCAGAATTTTACCGCGAGATTTTAAGATATTTGATAATGGTGCAGAAGCTAGTTATAATCTGATGGAATATTAACTGGTACTTCTACTTATTAGTCCCGGCTCATGGTGACCAAGATGATGGTCAAGATGGAAAGGAGGTCCAGGAAAGTATTTCAGTGACCATTAACAGAGAGCCAACAGATTCCTCATCCAGTGAGGCGGATCCACATTGACAAGACAGTTTGGGAAGAGCTCTTATGCTGCCAAAAGATAAAGAGTTTTGCCCACCCATGTGCTGGAGAGAAATACATGAATTTATTAAGCTGCTGACATTGGGACATTAAGCATGATGTGAAACACAAAAGGAAATGCATCTATGAAAGCAGTGATTTAATTTTGATTTCAAGTTTTTGTAAATTTATTTTTTAAAAAATGCTTTTCAGTGACAAGTGTAAATGTAATACAATGGAACTTGGATCTTCCACAATTTTGTTTTTAATATTATAAATTTATGGCTTTAGACATTTTACTTTTAAAAGTTAATGTGATTTATCTGTCCAATGGTTGAATGCAGGTGGAAACATACAGTGCATGATGTTTCTAGGTCTGTGCCAAAGTCCGAGGTCTTGTTTTAAAGAATGTCTCCTCAAAGTTGTTATTCTGCAAAGCAGAACAGATATTTGTGTATGTATTTCACATATTCAACTACAGAGTTGTGTGTCTGCCTGCTATCATTTTGAGTAAGATACAGAATGAGTAATGGTATATCTGTCATAAAATGTATAAAGACAGTAGGATTGTCAAGGATGTAAAAAGCTCACTTGCTTGTGTCTGTTGTAAAAACAAAAACAGGTTGTAAACAGTTTAGTAGTATTTTGTTAAAGATATGTAAATGGCTTTAGAGAAAGAAAATGTAGATTCTGTTCACATTTCATGTATATTAAAAAATGCAACGAGAATATGGAAAATGTTGAAAGCATTTTCAAAATATAAAATGCATGTAATTTATCTTGCTTTCAGTTTAAGGATTAAGCTTGTATGTTCACAGTTATTTGGGGGGTTATTTTTTTATGCTTTAATAAGGAAACAAAATCGACATATTTTGTTCCTCACTTTTGACTTGTTTATGAAATGCAAATATTAAATATTCAGGTTGTGTTATGTTAAGAAAGTTGAAATATAATGATTTTTTCATATATGTATTATGTGAAATAGTCTTAAACTGTTACTGATTGAGTGGATCTAATATTTGTATGATGAATGTCAGATTTAGAACCAATGTGTCTAAATCAAAAGCATTGTAATTTGTATATTTGTTATCAGCACATCATTGAAAGAAAAGAGCATTTAAATTTTACCATTTGGTCAATGTATCAAACTTGTCAAACAGTAGCGATAGCATTCATCATTGTTTTATGGCATAGCATGAAAATGAGATAATTGATCCTGTAGAGTCTAGTGTTGAAAGAAAAGATTAAGATTTGTAAATACTAATAGCGGTAGGTGGATGGTTCCTTTGAACTCCCAAGCTTTGATTGTGCGATCTCTGGTGCTTAGCTTTGATACACTGTATATTTTTTTTTTCCATTTTGTACATTTACGTACATTGTTTTGTTAAAGAAGAAAGAGAGATAATAAAGAAAACAGGAGAAATAAGCAACTTGTCTTTAATAATTGAAAGATTGATTCATGTAAAATATTCAGGGAAGTAACTCTTGAAAATCTCTAAATGTTTCCACTTTTATTGAAAACATAGGATAAACAAATTCATACAATATCATTCCATATGTTCAATTTTTACAGTTAACAATACAAATATTACACTTGCACACATCAACTGTGCAATATAAAGATCTATCACAGAGTAGCTTATTTAAAAAAGTCTCTTCTCTTCAACATGATTTGCACAAGTGATTGATGGTAGTCTAGCATTCAGTTAAATTATCTTTCTACCAAAGTGCCAAAAAAAAAAAAGATAAATAAAACACTTCTAGTTTTAAATATTTTAGATTTAAGAAAAACAAGTGAATGGACATAAAATAATTGAAAATTTCCCCCAGGATGTGTCGCAAGTTTCAGTCACGCAGAAGAATTCTGTTTTGTAGCCATATATTACTGAACTTTGAGCACTCGAATGTGATGTTCACCTGACAGTTTATTGATAAAGAAAGGCAGCCTTAGTAGCTTAGGTGGTTCATGAAGATCCTTCTTCTTGGCCAGTCTCAGCTTTGGCAGGTTTAGCGTGCATGGAGAGGATGTCTTCTCCCTCTTTGTGAATCTCCTTGTGAGCCGCTAGGAGGTATTTCCTCTGATCTCTTCTAACTGTTGATTATTAGTAAAATAATCAAAATTACATAAAGCATTTAAAAGCATACTATGAATAAATGTACTTTGATAGAGATGAGATGATCTTTCTAAATGATAATTCTTTACAAAAGATACTTCTGTAATCTACTTCTAATTTAGAAACAAAACAGGTGTCCGTGTTTGATGACAATTACTCTATACCAGTAATATTATTCATGAAATAGCCTCGATATAAGTTTGAACAGTACATGGTGACAAATTATTATGTAAAGTTATGCATGTTCTCCAAGATTAGAATGTTTGGCATAGATATATCACTTGTGTAAACAGGTACAAAACTATACCTTTCTCTCTCATGGTCGTTTTTTGAACTTCAGGTAATAAGAAACAGTGAACAAGATCAGCAACTATTTCTTCTGACTGGAGCTGAGTTCGACTGAAAATATAATGTTCAGTGTAGGAGTACATTCAGTATTCACTAAAATAGATGTGATGATTTTTTTTCTAAATACATGTATTTCAAACTTTTCTTTTCGTTTTTGGTTTTTAACTGTATAAATCTTAAAAATTAAGTTTAAGGAATTTGTACATGCATTCAAAACTTTTTTGGTTTTATGTAAAAGTGAGCTTTGCACAAAAAAAATTATTCAACTCCTATATACCTGTCCTCTATTTCATAGGCCAGATCATTGATCTTCTCGGCCTGTTCCATGACCTCAGCGCGAGCCTGCTCATCGGCTGTTTTGTCAATTGATCCCAGAATAATGTCTTCCAAGTAAGTATCTACTGATCTCTGGTGAACTTTGACAACCTAAAACAAAATCAGAAGTATCTTCAAATTCCGAATACTGTTTTTTTGTAAAGACTCTTTTCAAGAGAAAGTTTATAAACTACAACTTGTAACATGTTCTGATGAGCACTGTATGAATATTTTCAAAACAAATGCTTATTTTCAAAGATGAGAGAAAGAAGGATTAAAATATTTTTCACAATACTTTTAAGTTTACATTGCAATTTATCAATTTTTGAATTTCAAGAACACTGCTGAATTTTTTGAAAACTGACCTGTTTGAAAACTTCATCCTCCTCACGGCGACGTCTCTCCTCCACCTGCCTCCTTCCACTCTCCTCAGCCTCCCTGATTCTCCTCTGTCTTTCAGCCAGCATGGAGAAGGCATGGATCCTCCTCTCCTCCTGTAGACGGACCAGTTCCTTACTGAGGAAGTCCAGGGTGTCTCCAAGGGAGGAACCCTCTAACTGGCTCATTGCTTCATCAACCAGTAATTCCTAGTAAGATTAAAGGAAGAAAGGTCATTTCTATCTTTTTTTTTTTTTTTTGCTTTCTTATTGCATGATATATTTTCCTCATTTTTGAAGGAATGTTGCTCCATTTTCTTTCTTTGGTGAAAAAAGGGGAATTAAAAAAAATCCTTAGAAAATGCACATTAGATATTGGTATTATTGTCCTGCAAACTGGATCCAGGCATTGAAAATTAACAAATCCTTGATTATTGAAAACGTTTTAGTTTGAAAATATTCTTCAAAGCAGATTAAAATAAACTCCTTTAAGACATACAAATGAATCTTTAACTTTTAAATAACACTACTGTAACAGTTTAATCAAAACTACAGTCTGGGAATTATCCTGTTGTACATAATTAATTATGCATTGGCCTCGTTAATCAAGATTCCTTCATCCTTCATTCTCACAGAAAAAAACACCTACAATGCTCATAAATGAATAATAGATGAATTGGGGGTTTTGACATGCTGGAAATGTAGAATGTTTTGTATAAGAATCTTTTGAAGGAATTTTAATCAATATTCTAAATCAAGATGATATTGGTCAAACTGTGCATTTTAAAAGTTCTGACATATTAAGGAAATTTTAGTGCTATTTATATTGCTTTCACACATCTGTAACATATTTACTTGTATCATGTATATATTCCTCTTGTTTAACTAATTACCAACAGAGGGGTGCACCTTGCATGAAGATTTATATTCAAAATGTTGCACTTTTGAACACAAACAAATTACTCCTGCACATCTTGATCAGATGCTTTGTATAAAGAAGTGAAAAATATCAAGCATGTTTGTGAATACCATTAATGTTATTTAAGATATATACGTACCTTGTGTTCATGTAGTCTGCGCTGACGTTGCAGTGCCAGTGTTGCTTGCTTCTCCTGTTGCTTAATTTGTTGCTCAGCATCTTGCAGAGCATGAGTGCTTCTTAATTCCTTGATAAGTTCTTGTCTTTTCTCTTTTCCCTCGAAAATCTGAAAAGTAAATAGAAATTAATAGAATTTTTTTTTATTTGGTGTGTTAATTTACATGAAAAAGTGCAAAGGTGCCCAAGCCATTATGCTTCCATCTTTTTTTTTTTTTGTTAATCTAACATGGTTGGTCAAAGCTAATGTTACTCATGTATAATGGATAGTTTAAACTGTTTCCTTATAGATTTGATTAAATTTATTGTAAGAAATGGTTAATCTGTCCTGCATATGAATAGTAATTTAGAGTAAGAGATGAGAGAGAGAGAGAGAGAGAGAGAGATTCATGCTTACCATATTTTGAATAGCTCTTCCCCTGATGACTTGCTGTAAGAATATCACAGCAAGTTCTTTTTCTTCTTCCTCCTGTAAAGAATAAAATCAAGAATTAGCTAGCTTATTCCAGGTAACAGATTCTGCAGACTTGACAAATAAGTGTTTTTATATGAGAGTACACTTAATGTACATCAATATAATTGTCAGGGCTATATTCTCATTTATCCATTTGCATACTATTTATGGATATTTTATAACAGTTCTTTATGTACAACATATTACGCATTTTAGCACTACCATGTTTATAAGTTACTATAGGGAATAAATATGGATAATTTTACATTTATTATGAGGAAATTATGAATATTCATGTAATTGGTTTGATAAATTTTAGTATCTGGGATGAATAAAAAAGTTAATACTGCAATACTTTCAACATTTTCAGAAAATGGTTTTTTTTCCTTGACAAGCCATGCAGTGATGCTTTTGTTCCAAAGGAAGCATAAACTTATATATACACAAGCATAAACTTATATACATGTGCACAAATAATATATATATTGTGCTCTCTCATTTTCCTCCAATACCATGTGATTTATCTCAATATGGCTGCTGTGCTATGAAAGCTTGAATTTCTTTTTTTTTCTTTTTCTTTCTTTCTTTCTTTTTTTTTTTTTTTTTTTTGTGCAGTTATATCAATCCTGTCCAAATTTCTATTTCTTTCCTCTCAGATATTTACCTGTTAATTTTGCTCATTTTCAAATACAACCATTTTTTAACTAACATGTATGTGTATACTTTCTATGAAATATATAAGAATTGCTTTCTCTTATCTTGAAAACTTCATTCTGGGACTTAATAATTTATTTTATTTATTAATCATACATAAAATTTATCAATGCCTGAAATCATTTTGTGTTAATTTTTCACACAAAAGGGGACAAAATCCCCCAAATACATGCTAAGGCAAATTCTTCAAAATGATCCACATAGAACTTTCAGTTTGAAATTATTTTCTAAAAAAAATCAATCATTATTTTCAATAATGATTTGTCCTTCAGATATTAATAACTCAGGTCAGATGATTAAGATGGAATTGATGGGAAAGAAATACATAAAATTCAAAAACAGGCACTCCTTTTATGATATTTGATGTATATATGAAAAATGACTTGAATTTACATACTATCTTATCTCCTGGTGTCTTCATCCCCTTAGAAATAAGATATTAGTAGTAAAAACAATTATTAAAAAGCATCAATTTTTTTCATTATTTTGTTGTACCTATGTTGATATTTCTTGCCTATGCTACTATCAAAGTCTGGATAGTAAATTAAGTCAACAATTGAAATGTTATGAATTTTTTTTTATCAAACAATTACTTTTAAGTTTTGGGTTTTTTTGTTTTTGTTTTTTGTTTTTTTTTTTTTATACATAATATAGTATTATATAAAAATCAAATTATTCAGTTGGTGAAACAATTGATAAATTGATCTAATATAACATTTTTGAATTTAATGAATTTACTTTGTTTTTATATTCGAGCATGAGTGTACAATGAATTTTTTTTTCCACAAAGTAAAACATGGTTTATAATATACTTTGTTAGAGTAAATATTTGCTTAAATGAATAAAGTAAAAAATTTATAAAATAATGATTGTAGATGGTTGATTGCAGAAAAAAACAAAGTGGTTCAGACAGTTCCTACGAATTTTCTGATCTTCTTTTACACGGTTTTAATTAAAGCTTCAACCTTTTGAAAGAAATAATGTTCAATAGCCCTTTTCACCTCGGACAAGTACTAAACAGAGAAAGAAAAAGTAGATTTATTACCTCTGAGGGAACATCCACTGTAGGAGTAGGTGGTCTAGGAATAGGTTTTTCAATCTTTTGAAGGAACCTCAATGGTTTAGGCTCCTCCTCTCCTTTCTCTTTTTCCTCCACAATGGACTGTGAACAAAGACAATTCTTTACAGTAAAATTATGAACTTGAATTATCATCAAAACAACATAAATGTCATCTATTTTTTAAAATTTCAATATAATCTTATTGATTAAGTAATTTTTAGAATAGATTTTTTTTTAACTTTTGTTTGTTTGGGGTTTTTTTTACTTTTTTTACTTTATGCATGCATTTGTTTCTTATTAAGCCTTATCAGCTTTAACTTGAATCATTTTTTTACCATATGCATGTCTTTGAGTTCTTGTTCCTGTCTGTATTTCCTCTTTAGATATCCAGTCTTTGTTACTGTTTTAGGTTTTGGTGCCTTGACACGTGGATTTACTACAAAATCTGGAAGTGAGGCTTCCAGCTCTAGCAGACCTTGATAGGTGCTAAGATGGCGGCTTTTCACCACATATTGTTCAGACCCTCGGTCTAAAAACATTCCTATCCGTGTAAGAGGAGCATAGGTTTGAGATCCAAAATTTGCAAACTCTTGAATAATCTCCCTTCTTTCCATTTTTCCTTCCACCTTTCCCCTTTTTCTTGTCAACTTCCTGATTGCTGTAAATTAAAAAAATATAAACATTTAATTTGCCAGCTTGAAAATATTTGTACATGTTCATGGATTTTAAAGATTTTCAAAATTGATGAAAATTTAGTCTCTAAATGTCTTCAGGATCTTTTCCCCAAAAATATGTTCTTAAAATAGAACTTATTGCTGCAAACACTTCTAAAGAGCTAAAGTATTAAGAAAAGTTATTTGGCATACTCTTTATGTGTTCATTCCTTATTTTCTTCACTTTAGCATCCTTTTCTTTCTGTTTTTTAGTCCATAGTTTATCCAGTCTCTTGATATTTAGCTCTGCATGATTCTCCTCTCTCTTTTTCAGAAGCTGTTTTAGTACTTCAAGTCTAGCCTCCTGTAACCTGAATACCCAAGTCATTATTACTATTATGTTCAAAACTTACTGATGTAAATGTAACAGCTAGGCTGTTTAGCATTAGCTTTGAAGATTTTTAAATCTATCTTGACATAAAATATGAAAAGCATTATGTAATTATAAAAATGTCCTTTATGCTACTCCAAGAATACTTTCATAGCTTAAAAGAAAGCATTTTTGTTTTTTGTTTTTTTTATTGAAGATAATTTCATACTTTTCAATTTCATGCTCTCTGAGTGCCCATTCTTTCCTCTCCATCTCATCCATCATTTTTCGTCTTTTTTCCAGTTGAGAAACATCATTCAGAGGAGGAAGAGTTGCCTCCCATGCACGTTTGGCACGAGCACGCTCAATCATCTCAACCTCAGCCAAACCAGCTGGAAGTCCATGGCCTGTAATTTTTATTTTAAAAAGTTAAGGATATTTTAGTACTTTTTCACTTTAAAAAAAAATCCAATTTTTTTTCATCAGTACAAAATTTCTGAGGTACATTTTCATGATAACCATTATATTTAATAACCAGGAACTTTACACTTATCTATTACATTATAAATATCATCAATTTTCAGAGAAAATAATTTTACCATGTGACAGAGTGGCCAAAGTGAGCAACTCAGGAGCGGATCCAGGGCGTACAACATATTCAGGGGTGTATGGATCTGTTTGGGCCTCAGAGTCCCTGTAGTCTGTTTGAATTTCTACTGTTTTTGTCAGAGGGGTTGGAGGACGTTCCAACTGCAACTGTTCAGGCCCTGCCAGTGGATCTTGCCTAATACATATTGTAAAATTTAAAGTTTTGTGTGAAGCATTAGTATTCTTAACCACATCCACTAAATTTCTCTTCTTTTTTTTTTGATGATAAACAATTGTACTGCAACATAATTTTGATGATTGTGACTTTTAAACATGAATTATAATGACAGTCTTTTATTCCTTGCCTTTACAGTCTTCATCCTGTAGAATGACTCTATCATATTGAGAATGAATTGTATGTAAATAAAGTAAAACCTGTTCAATATCAACTCTTACCTGGCAGTGGCAAGCATAACCTCTGGTGGAATTTGTTGTAAAAATGGAATTATTGGCCTTCTGAAAAACTTATATCGGTTCCGTCCTCCTACTTCTGCATCTGAATATTGCTTAGGTGGCACTTTTACGCTTGGATCATAATTAAAACTGTGAAAATAAACCAAATGACATTCATTTAGATTTTTTGAAATTTTATTTAATTTTTTGGTGGGGCATATTTTTGGTATGAATTTATGAATGAAATTTCAAGTTTAAATGAATTTTATATTATTTGATAATCATTAACTTACGTTGTGTATCGTATCAATTGCTCCCGGGCCTGGTCAGCATAACCTCTCCATTGTCTTGATATAAATTTTGGTACAGGATCTGTGACATCTAATCGCATTTGAAAACGGGGATGATGGCGTAGTTCACTAAACATAGTATCATACAATGGCACCCGTTTCTGGAAAAAAGAAACTGTGACAGTCAATGGAATACAGTGTAATCTGTTCTGTGGATAAATGTCACTGATGTCAGATGGTAAATAAATCATGACTGTGCATTTAAAATGTGATTGGATAAAGAAAAAATATCATTCATAAATTTTACATCATACAAGGAATATCAGTTTTACTTACAACACGATCAATGCTTGTATGAGCTTTGAATGTAGCCCTGGCATGATCTCTTTCACTTGCAGACACATAATGCGGGTCTAAAACAAAAATAAATATTAAAAAAAAATCATTCTAAAAAATTCAGAGATGAAACAAATCCTGATTAGAAATAGCAAAAAATGCTATTCTGCCATTACTGCATCATTTATAATAATAATCATTGATAATACAGTATGCATGATGTACAAAACATACACACTATTGGGGCCCATAAGTAAGACCCATTTTTCTCATAATCATTGAATGGTATTAATTCCCTTGTTTGTTTTCGGTAAAACTTATTATATTATTTAAAGGAATCTGTCAGTATTATATATCAGTTTTAGAATTCAATCTTTGCACAATCTTGAGGTCCATATGAAAATAATAAACATGTCTTTATCAACCGCCCCACCGTCGACTTACCATAAAGATAATCGTGCGTCCTGGCGGGTTGAAAGCCAGACCGCTTCACTGTTTGAGTTTGGGTCGCCATTTTTTTAACAACTTCAGTTTTTTAATAGGCCCTATGTGTAAGATCTACGGTGTTTTCCTGGCGGCCATTGTAAACAATATGGCGACGGTGTCGTCATAGCTACAGTAAATACCTTGAAGAGTTGTCCCGCTTTGCGTAACTTCCTGAAAATGTCGACACCTGCAAAATGCAAAGAAATATATTCAGTATTTGTATAATCCCAGTAGCTTTAATAATAATTACAATACAAATGCATCGATATTTTCCTTGTAGATGAATATTTATGATTTAGGCTATATAACATTGCTTTACTTCAACTGGGAAAAAATGTAAGAGTTTCCGAAACGCCGACCTTTCGATACACATCTGAAATATTCATTGTGCAACAAAATGTTACAGCAGACGAACTCGCGGTTTCCGCTCCATGTGCTCAGAACTCGACTTTTCTGTAAGGTTTAAAAGATTTCAAAAGTTAGTCTAGCAATGCTTGGGAAGCTTGGCATCAGTTTCAGACTGTGTATCATGCATATATATGCAAAGTCATCAATTATGTTGCTGAGCATTGCTAGACTTGAGATATATTCAAAGCGTTTTCCCTTAAAAATTCAAGGCCCAAACTTCATAGAGAGCTTTAACGTTATATCTGCGTGATACATGCATGTATATGTTTTGATTGGGTATGACTTTACGATTTGAACTTTCCAAACAGGTTTTGATGCAATTTTACATCTATATCTTATTTCATATTTATATCATTTCATTCAAAAAACAAACAAACAAACAAAAAAAGAACTGGACATTTTATACTTTACAAAGTCTCTCTATAATGTTCACGTTTGCCCCCCCCCCCCCCCAAGCCTGCAGGTCTGGACCATGTTTTACAAAAAAACTTACAACTTTACAATTAAAAGTAAATTCACAATTTAATCAATGTAAAGAAGAAAAATAAATATAAAAGTAGATTTCAGTAGTTGTTAAAGTTCTTTTGAAAAACGTGGCCCTGAAAACTAATGCAAAGGGCTTCTTTTGCACCTGTCTTAGTTTTAACATCGCTGTAAATTTGGTCTTTGAATTTCAATTTTCCCAACATTTGTTCAATGAAGTTGATAGATTAGTCTGTCTTATGGAATAAAACAAAATAATTTGTAAATTTATCTTTAACAAAACCTGTTTTTGCTACACATTGAGACCTGCCACATTGATTTATTGAGAATGGCCTTAAAGAAATAGCTAATTTGATACTGGACTCCTGAATGCAGATGTCTTGGTGGCTTGTTTAAGAAAAACTATTGACCATCAAGAGGCATCTGTCATGCAAAATGGAAATTAATGGAGTTGAAAGTGACCAAGTCAATGTCTTCTTTAGTGTTCTTTCTCATTTTCATGATTTAAGTTTGCCTATCACAAGGGGATGACCCCAGCATGAGATTTGTTCATTTGATAAGCAAATACTGTAATGATTTATTAATTTGTTATTGTAATTTTGTTTGATTTTAGTCTTAGATATGTATGCGTCTATTGAAATTACATGTAAATGGCTATCAAACTTCATGCAAGACATTTACAAGGTTGCTTAAATAAAAAAAATCAAGGTTTGATTTTTTTTTTAAATGTTGCAGTAAACTTTGTCTAAAGTTCTTTCCTTTTTCTTTGATGAGGATTAACAATAGCCTGAAACCTCTATTTAATATTCCATACCCGATGTTTAATGGCCACAGGTACTAAAGCTGTAGCCATTCCAGATCCTCAGTGGTGAACATCAATTGAAAACTTGTAACAGTATTGTTTCATTGACCTGGGAACCTTTGCACAAGTTAGAATCCAACTACAATAATTTCATCAAAGGATAATTGTTTGATGTCAAAGGTCAGATATGAGCATTTATAGTCAGCCCTTTATGATATGCAAAAGAAATTTAACAGTAAATGAAATTAAAATCTTTTGCAGGTGAGATTATTATAGAACAAAGTTTATAACATTATTCACGAAATATATATACTATTACTAATCTGTAGATATATAATTGATTTTTCAATACATTTAAATGTACATGATGTGTTGATGCTTTATTGAATTTTTCAGGTGAAGGTAAAGACAGGTAATTGAAGTGTCAGTCACTTTCAGCTGTCCACTGGCAGCACTAGCTATCCTGTCCTTGTGATGGTGTTGTCAACAATGGCCCTTAATTAGCTGAGGTTCGTAATCACTTTATAAAGCCATTGTTACAAAATTTACCCTGAATCATCCTGGTATGTTGGGATTGAGTCTGTGGGAAGTTTAAGAGACATTGACAAGGTTAGGGACGTAAAATTAGTATAGTTATGATTAAGCTGGCAAAAATCGTCAGTCCGATTACCTAGTGGTAGGTGTAAGATTACAGTGTGTTCCTGTTCAGTGGACAAGAGTGTCCAGCTGAGTATTTCTTTGTTATGAACAACTAGAAAAAGTCCACTGGAATGTAGGATATTTTTGCAGTCATTACATCCTAGAAAAATACAACATCTCGGATGTGTTGGAATTCTGGGATAAATCAGAGTGTGGAGGGAAAGATGAGATAGTGACAAGATGGTGGTAGGGAAGGAGGGTGGAAGGGGATGGGGGGTGGATAGGGGTAGTAGTATACTATTTGGTCAGTTTGACTGTAAAGTCCTTTGCAATTAATATGTAAAATATTTTTTTAAGTGGGTCAGAGAGGTAAGCTCATTGGAAGGAAAATGACCTGAGTCATATGAGTGGGATGAAAAAAAAAGTTTCAGGTGACCCATTGTGATTTCACATTACTTGGCCAATTTCCTCTGTCTGAAAGAAACAAGTTTGCCACTTCCAGTTTAGGTAATGATTTTTAAATCTAAATGTGTTTGTAGGTATCTGAACTCCACTCATGAACATACCTTTTATATGATGAAAAATTGGTATTTTCTTATCACACCACCATATCAAATTAAAGTTCTTGGGACAAGATATTACAACTTTCTGACAAATGTGATTTTCAGATGGGGTAGAATTACTAGGAGTTACCCTGAAAAATCCTTCACACTTTGTAACATATAACATAGCAATATCAAATTGCTTTCTGATGAAAGGATTTTTACTGAAAAACGTAAAATTATTTACAAGTATTTGATTATTTATTTTGATAAATGAAGTTATTTTAGCTTCAAGTTATGACCTGAAATTAAAGATGTCATTCATTGATTTAAATACATTTCCAGGTGCTCTTAAGACCAGAGAAGTAGTCAGTTCTGTGTACTATACTGTAAGTGAAGTGAATACAGAAAAGAAGACCTTGGAGACCAATATACAAAGGTTAATATTTTATAAATTAATCTCTCTCTCTCTCTCTTTTGTATGTTTATGTAGAATTTGTGAAAAAAGCAAAGCACTTTTGCTTAAAATATGTAATGAAACTAATGGGCTATTTTAAAATTAAAAAATTACAGATTTACCTGTTATCTCAAACCATTTTAAAGAGACACATTGACTGAAGAATTATTATCTATTACTGAAAATTACTAAATCTGTGGATGATTGGAGGATTAAGCTAAAAGTCTATTAAAAATTGCAATAATTTTGCATATTTAAATTCCCCTTAAAAACATATTTAATGTAATTTTCAGAGGAAGTGACAACAGCTGTATGCATATTCCAATTTTCCAATTTTGTCATTGGAGCAAAGCAGATCTTGCCTTTCCTTAATTTACTATTGGTTTTCATCTCAAACATACTAAAAGCAGTAAAAAGTCCACTCTATAATTTTAGGAGGCTTGTTTCTACAGGTGATTTAACAAGAATTTGTGGTCTCTCTATATACAAAAACTCTGGAAAAAGACCATAAAAAAGTTTCAAAAAAGATGAAAACCTAGTTATTGGTCACAGAACAGTGGAGCATGATTGAGGTTTTACCCTGACGTATCTTTGTCCTCTAAATAACATGCTCACTTCCCTCTCTGTGAAATTAGGGGTATCAGGTGAATAATAATTTGTTTATATTTAAGGGTATCACTATTTATGGGTAGCAGAAGTTAGAGCAGGATGTTGCAGATATATGATTATTGTTGTGACTATAGGCTTTCTTTTTGTCCAACAGTTTTATCTGATTTTTAATCTCTGAGTAGGAGAAGGAAAAAAAACTGTGTGATTTTTCTTTCTGAGTGTTATTTTCCCAGTGTTTTATTTCTAAATTAACACTATTGTTCCATAACTCAGAATCATTAGGTTTCAGCTTGTTTTTCATTAACCATGTATGTGGTAGGTATTAAAAATCTATTTTCTTGAATTACAATAACTTTTTTTTAGCTTTTAGCTTGTAGCATGACATGCATTTTTCATAGACTATTGTTTTTTTTTTTTAAATAATACTGTTATAAAACTTGTTATATGCATTTTTTGTGTTAGATGTAGATTTATTGCAGCTTTTGGTTTTGAGGGTTTATGATGAAAAAAAATTTTTGATTTTGAATGACATATATATACTGCAGCCATTTTATTGGTCAAATTTGAACTTGAATTTATGTGATTAATCTTTTTGAACAAATGTTTTCTTGTATCAGGCTTACTTGCATTAGAATCATATAATGGCCATGTTGTGTCTCAGTGAAATAAATGATACAGAAAGCAATGTCATGGAAACCATTCTTATTGATTTAATTGAACACCTGTGCAATGTAGACCATCTTGCACCATGCAATGTAACATACATACCAGTTTCATATTTTTTTTTTTAATGCTTTTGATTTGTTTTCAGTCTAGAAACAAGCAGACTTTGTTCTATCAAATTCATGAAAATGAATGAATTCCTTTTATAAAAGAAGAAACTATCGGTAGCAAACATGATAAAAATCTGAGGATCATTTGATAACTTGAGTCTCTCACTTCATACATGATGTTGCTGATGACAAATGCCTCTTTCAAATTAGGAAGAAATATGGGGGTGTTTTCTAATGTTCCGTAAGACTGATAAACAGCACTTTTAATGAAGTATCTCTGCTGTTTTGGTATCAGATTATCTCTCTGTGGATCACGGTCGCCTTCCATTAGACTTCTGTCTAGCCTTTATGTTGCTTTTTGAACTTATTTTTGCCTTCCTGGATGATGAGTCTAGGCGTAACAATGTCCTTTGACAAAATTTCAAATTAATAGTGATA